TTAAATGTGTGTCTCATAAGTCTGAACAGTCATTAAACAGGCAGCTTTTTAAATTTGTAATGTATTAGACATCATATTATCAAATTAGTTCAATGAAAATTATTTGTTTTTCTTAAGCACGCATATTCTCCAATAACCTTTAAAATACAATAGAGCAATGACCAACAAATCACCACATTAGCTGGGTTCAGGCAGTATTGAACCCATACATGTCAGAAAAAGCAGTAATACAAAGTATTCAGAAAACTCAGGATATCTTACATATAGCAATGATATAGAAAGTGCTTATCACTAATCATGATTGCAAAACAGATGCAATCCAGATATGATCTTCAACAAATCAAAGTACCTAATCCTATATTTCCTCCCATGCCTTCTCCATGAATTGTTCAAATTACGTTGATCACATGGTTGATATTGCTAGAAGCTGTATGTTAAAATGCAATTTGGCTTATTAATAATGGAGCTTTTGCAGGTCATTACAAGGAGCCAATGAAACTAAAATATTGCTAACAAGATATCATAAAACCATGAACTTGATTCTCTCTGTAAATCTCACTGCAAATGGCAAATATCCTTGATAGTGAAACTGGTATTAATAAAGATACTGCCCTGTCCACCTCTGCAGTAAACACCTCAGAGGATAGAAAGACATATAAAGAAGTAGAGGAGCTTACTAGCTTGGCACATAAGGTAAAAATTAAACACATAAAATCATCAGAGTGCCAAGCATAGCAGTGATACTTAATTTTTCAATTGTTTCCTATGGTTTGGAAGTGTATTTATAACCTCTGAGAAAATATGTGCACCCATAAGATATGAGACATTTCTACATATCAAAAAGGTTCAAAGGTAAAATCACTTCTACAAGTTTGTTTATATCTGAAAATTTAACTCTAATGAATCATCTTTATTATCCGCTAAGGAACTGTTGGAAGTAAATAACCCTTAGACATGAGCCCAATAAAGAGTGCACTGATAAATGTTTCTGGGCCTCTGTTACAGCTGTTCTGCTTATATTGTATGTGATCAATGGGTCTCATAAAACCATGCTCCAAATCACTGCCTTCTGCATCAAAACAGAGAAACCACATATTTTTGAGGTGGCTTTTTTGGTCTCAATATCCAAAATATATAAAGTAGCTTATTTGTCCCAAGTATTAGACCTCATAGAAATAATACATAGTTTGAAGATATTTGTCTTCTCATGAATACTGTGCTTATTTGCAAAATGTGCTTAGTGAATGTGCCTAAAGTACAATAAACTGTGTGCATTCTTCATTTAATGATGAGTCCTGTTCCTGTGATTAGGTCACTAAATGAATGGGATGCTAAAGGAGGAATTGTATACAGTGTGTACTTTACAATATTCAGGACAAAGAAATGGTCAAAGGAAACTCCAACTTGGTGACTTTGCTTTTATTTGCATAACTCTTACACGCAGCACTGCAATATATAACAGAGCCTAAAACTAGAGTACTGTACAGTTCAGTCAGCAAAAATTAGAGTACTGTATAAACAAAGTATACTGTACAGAAAAAGACATTGAGGTTGTATCAATATGTGCAGAACTGTACAAAAAAGAAAATGGGTCATAAGTCTGAGAGAAGGAAACAACATTCCTCGTTTGTAATCCAAACAGTCATTAAAACACATCGATCATTAAAGGAGGAATATGTGTATTGGCTTCAGTGTTTCTGTCTAGGTTATTCTTGAGTACTTTCTGAAGTGCTGATTTAATATTCATTTGTCTCAAGCTGGTCTTCTTCATGAAATGTCTTCATGTCTCCATCTATTTTGAAAGACTGCTGAGTAAGTTAAAGTAGGTTGGAAGTTACTCACCTTAGGGTTTAAATACATCATTCTAAGTTTTTTGACCTTTAAGTTTTGTGTTAAGTAGTCTGTTGTAATTCTAACTAGTTTACCAATTATAGGTGATTTTTTTTTTTCCTGCTTTAAATTTCTGTTGTTGTGGGTTTTGGATATCTGACAGTAGAATGAGGATATGCCTTGTGAACTTCTTTACTTATCATACATTTTTGGTGTTCTTTAAGCCTCGCTTCTATTTTTAACTCTTCTCATCTTTGGGGATTTTTCTACTATGATTTCTGTAAGCATTCCTAATTCCATCTATTTTGTCTTCTAGTGTTTCGGTAACTCCATTGGCCTTAAGTTGGTCTTTTAATTGTTGTTTATTAGCTGTTGGGTAGTCTTTTCCTCACTTTTATTGTGGTTTCTTTGGGTATGATGTGTCCTCCATTTACCATTTGTCCTCAATTTCCGATGACTATTCTCCCCAAACTCCCTGGGCTGGCCATATGAGCCAGGGTGCATCCCATCATCTTTCTTGGGCTGGGTACATAGATGAAGCCTGTGGCTAGGGGTATGACATTCAGTTGGTTGGTTCATCCCCACATTTCCCATTCTCTTACACCTCAGAAATTTTTATATCTTTGTGACAGGTAAGCATTTCATGAGCTATAAGATAATATATCTTCCTTAGTCTAATTTTATTGTTAGTATTCTCTAATGAATACTGTACTACTTTTCATTAGCATTTTAAATTGCCATTCATAAATATTACTTTGTGTTTAATTACAACTTTTATCTATGAAACTAGTTTCAAGTTTCACAATGCTGTCTACAATCAGGAGGAAGGGATCTATTTCTTAAATAATAATTTGAAAATAGATGTATTTTCAATGTTCCGTCAGAGAAAGTCATTACTTATTCATCTACCCCAGTTCTTTTTACCCCACGTTTGACCTAGTAGGCTCTCCCCATGAACCATGCTTTACAGACAGTGTAGAAATAAAACTGGGGCCAACCAGCAGGAGAACCAGTCTTCCTATTCTGCTCTTTCTTTAGCAGTGAATTCCCACCTAGAATCAAAATTCCTGTGTGGCAAGTGCATGTGGATGAAGAATAAGTGTTTGATGACCAAAAAATGAAGTAAACATTTGTGGGACTCAGCCTCATTTCAGCTTTTTATGAGTAGATCTGAGATATTTCATGTTATGAGTCTCACTCTTCTTCCTGGGAATATATTTCTGCTGATTTAGGAGGTAGTGACCTTTGAGGATGTGGCTGTGGACTTCACCATGGAGGAGTGGGCTTTGCTGGATCCATCCCAGAAGAAGCTCCACAGAGATGTGATGTGGGAAAACTTTACAAATGTGACTGCTATAGGTAAGGAAGATAGATTTATGCAATCAGGGAGCATTGGTTATTGCCCTTCAGTGCCATTTACTTTACTGGAATATGGAAGTGTTTTTGATAAATCTTCCAGGCATGGTCACATTCTACCATGGATCTAATTGGAAGATGATTTTTGTGTAATATAGTAACTCATGGTTACATTTCTTTTTCTACACTTTAGGAAGAAACTGGGATAACCAGCAGCAAATTGAAGATAAGTACCAAAACTTCAGGAAAACTCTAAGGTAATATGCACTAAGAAGGATATTCCTCAAAGGTCAGAAATATTAAAACCAAGCAAACGTCACTTATGAGACCATGTTCAAAAAACTACAGAAAGCCAGGCTTGGTGACATGTGCCTGTAATTCCAGCATTTAGGCAGCTGAGGCAGGAGGATTGGTAGGAGTTTGAGGCCAGCCTGTGCTACATAGTGAGTTTGAGACTGGCCCGAACAATGTAGGGAGACTCAAGAAAACAAAATGAGGACAAGTTCAAATTTCTTTAATCACACAAAATTTCTCCAGAGATGAATACATGTTTAGTATCTAGAATTTGGCAATTGAATATTTGAAACATGTCAATATTTGAAATGTAGGGAATATTTAAGTTATGCCACAAGTGACACCTAATCCATACCAATAGACATTATTTTTCATGCTCAAGATTATAAAAGTCTTACATGAAACTGTATGTAGGTATGGATGAAAATTATATATATATAAATTTCTGTTTGAGAGTCAAGTGCAACATAGCTAATTACATATACATCTATTTTCAAAAGACTGCTTTTTTCAATCAGACAAATTGTGAAAGTAATGCCATATGTATTTAAATATGGTATGTGCATTCAGTATTTGCAACATTGTTAACATTGAGGCCTTACTCAAAATCTAAATCAATGCCCCTGTTTTGATAATATCTGTTTTCAAACAATCGTCAAAAGCATTTAGTCTATTTATGTTCCAAAATACAGTACTAGAAGACACTGTCTCATATTGGTGGGAATGTCATTGTAGTATAACATCTATGAATATGTTTATAGGGGTTGCTCAAAAAAAGTAAAAATAGAACTTCTGTTTTATCCATCTATAATTCTACTGGGTGTATTACCCCAGTACATGCATGGAAGCTGAGGCACATTCATGCTTAGCCTGAGCAACTTAGTGAATGATAAGAATCAACCTCATAATAAAAGATAAATAACTCTGAGAATGCAACTCAGTGCTAAAACCTTGGGTTTATTCTTCAGCAGAGAAAATAATATGGTATGTGTATATAACATTATGGTATTCTGCCATTAAGGAGAATGAAATGATGTCATTTGCCAAAAAAAATAAATGGTTGGATCTGGAGCCTATATTACATTAAATAAAATAAACACGGAATATTCAATATTATGTGTTATATTTTGTATGAGAAATGCAAGATATGAATTAAGTAAAATAAAGGAGAGATGTTAGAGAAAAGAGAGGCAGATATTTTGGAGAGGGTAAAGAGGCTCAGTGGAAGGGGGATGGGTAGGGTGATAGAAGAAAAAGGTGTGAAAAATAATCAGCATATGGTATATATGTACCACTTGTTCAAAATGAAAATCAACAGTATGTAGTATTACAATCAATTCCAAACTCTAAAATGATACTGTTTTGGTAAAAGCTGTTTCTAAGCCATCGTTCAGAATGTACAGTATACTCATGATCAAATATGCTTAGGGAACATCACATCAGATCTCCTCCTGGTAAATATTACTATAAAGACATTTTAAAATGTGACTGGTTGTTTTGTTTTTTTTTTTCTTTGACAGAAGTGCAGAGGTAGATAAATTCTGTCAATGTAAGTTGGGGTATCAATGTGGAGAGATAGATTTTATGACTCCTGATACAAACGTGCATGTGAACCTGCTTGGTATAAACCTGGGTGAAAGCCTTGCACGCAGAAAGCCTCTGATTGGTCATTCATCACCAACTGTGCCGATCATACATAACTCTGGACTCCAATCATATGAGCTCCATGGATTTGAGCAGAAGCTGTCTTTCAGACATGGGAAAACCTCCACTGACTTTCAGTCCTTTCAGAAACATGCAGAGACAAATCCTGAAGAAAAACTTTATGGATATAAGCAATGTGCAAAATCCTACTCTGAGTGCACTGAAGGAAGTAATTCTGAAGAGAAATCCTTTGAATATAATCAAGATGTGAGACCCTTCAGTTCACCCAACTATGACAAAATCCAGGAAAGAAATGACAGTAGGGTGAATACCTATACATATATAAAATGGGGGAAAAGTTTGAATTCTCACTATGATATTCAGAAACATGAAAGAGCTCACACTGGAGCAGACTTCTATGTATACAAACACAGTTGGAAACTCTTAAATAATAAAACTTCATTTGGTAGTCATGAAAGAACTCACATTATGGGGAAACCCTATATTTGTAAGCAATGTGGAAAAGCTTTCAGCAAACAGAGTCATTGTCAAATACATGAAAGGACTCACACGGGTGAGAAACCCTTTGTATGTAAGCAATGTGGGAAAGCTTTCAACACACGCAGCTCTTACCAAGTGCATGAAAGGACTCACACTGGAGAAAGACCCTTTGTATGTAAACAATGTGGGAAAGCTTTTAGGAGACATGATAATTGTCACTCACATGAGAGGACTCACACAGGGGAAAAACCTTTTATATGTAAACAATGTGGGAAAGCTTTTAGGAGGCATGATAATTGTCATTCACATGAAAGGACTCACACAGGGGAAAAACCCTTTGTATGTAAACAATGTGGGAAAGCTTTCAGGACACAGAGTAATTATAAAACACATGAAAGGACTCACACTGGAGAAAAACCATTTCAATGTAAGCAATGTGGGAAAGCTTTCAGGAGACAACAGGAGTGTCAAAGACATGAACAAACTCACACTGGGGAGAAACCCTTTGTATGTAAGCAATGTGGGAAAGGTTTCAGGACACACCAAGGCTGTCAAGGACATGAACGAACTCACACTGGGGAGAAACCATTTGTATGTAAGCAATGTGGGAAAGCTTTCAGGACACACCAGGGGTGTCAAAGACATGAAAGGATCCACACTGGGGAGAAACTGTATGTATGTAAGCAGTGTGGAAAAGCTTTCACCACACGCCAGGGGTGTCAAGGACATGAACGAACTCACACTGGGGAGAAACCCTTTGTATGTAAGCAATGTGGGAAAGCTTTCAACACTCACAGTTCTTACCATATACATGAAAGGATCCACACTGGGGAGAAACTGTATGTATGTAAGCAGTGTGGGAAAGTTTTCGGGACACAGAGTAAATGTAAAACACATGAAAGTACTCACACTGGAGAAAAACCCTTTGTATGTAAACAATGTGGGAAAGCTTTCAGGACACATGTTAATTGTCAATCACATGAAAGGATTCACACAGGGGAAAAACCCTTTGTATGTAAACAATGTGGGAA